CTTGCCCTTGACACTTTGGTGGAGTGAATCTCTAGGGAAAAATACATGGAGTAGGTGCCGTTTTGAATTTTGTAATAATTGGATGTTCTAAGAACTCACTTGTGATGAGAGAAATTTTAAGTGTTACTACAAAATCATGTATTACACTATGTTACTTTGTAAAATTTGCAATTTTTTTTCATTAATACGTGTGTGATCTCTTATGTTGATGGATACATTATTTGCTGATTCGGGATCCTCATACGATTTCTAATTTCACTTATAGGCCAAAAGTAGTACAATAATAAATCTTGAATTGAGTAAGGTTCTGATAGCAATTTACCTTGAATAACATTTCAACTAACACTAGCATATCTCCTGCTTTGTTTTGAGTTTAATGTTTAACGTGGTTTTAAAGTTCTCAATATTTTTTTTTTAATATTAGGGTACATGCCCCTTTTAAATTCTAGAAAACCACTTAATCCGTGGTTAGACTGGTTTTCTACGGTGATGTGGTCAAAGACCACTTGTTTTTTTAAAGATCTAAAACAATAAAAATTTTATAATTTACATAACAAAAATATTTTATCCTATATGATATTCAAAATAGTTTACGTGCAACACACGTGTGCTTTCACTAGTACAAGCAAATAAGGATGATATCATCTTAAGAGTTCTTATAAGGTAAATAAAATGATGGTAGAAACTTTAAAGTATTGTTGAAATATTGATCATGAAGTTTGAGTTTTTCACATATTTACTTTTATGCTAAATTTAGTTTTGGAGGCATTTAAGCTTGAGAAAGGTAGCTAGGTAAGTTTTTAAATATTTTAAGGGCAAACAAGCCTACCATCGAATCCGAAAGGTCGAAAAATCTTGAGAGAGGTTAAATGGGGTGTATTAGAAGGTTGGAAGTACTTCGGAGTTAAAACGCAATTTGGAGGGAATTAAAATAAGAAGGTATTTGACACTACCTCAGTATTTTGGCCATCACTTTTTACCCCAATGCTCGATTGAACTGATTCTTACGGCATTGAAGAGTATACTTTAACAACTATAAATGTGTATTTCATGAAAAGTTCCTGAATTGACTTCTAACTATGTCAAAATTGGCTTGGCAAATTAGGGCAGGTTATAGAATCTTGTAGTCTGTTCGAACAGGAAAGGCTCCATTCGAACGCACATTTGATCTAAAAAACCTGAATAGAAAATAAGAGATATTGGGAGTATAACCCGTTTGAACACCAAAGACTCCGTTCCAATGCATGACAAACCGTTCAAATGCCAATGCTTCCATTCCAATGCATGTGCACGATTCTGCACAATCAAATCTATCCTACCTGAATTGTTGTTCATCCTATAAATACCCTAGGGATGTGTTTTAGGGTTGTTTAAATAAATTTTCAACCCTTAGAAGCCAAGAGGAGTTGGGAGAGAAGAAAATGGGTGAGATCTTGAAGGATTAACATGTAGAAACATCCAAACAACGGATTCAAGTAGGGTTTCTTTCTCAAATTTATTCATTGAGGATTAGATCGTTTGTCTCCTATTCTAAATAATATGATGGATCTACAATGTTTTCACATTCTTTTTTATTACATGATTCGTTTCTCAAAAAAATTACATGATTTACATCCAAATGTTTTTGATAAAAAACCCTAGATCTTAATTATGGTCAATTTGGACTAAAAGGTGTTGCTCAAAGAGGACTTCGATTGTGACTTAAACTATGTTTTCAAAACACATAAATGGTTTAGAAAAACTTTTCTTTTAAAATCACTTAGGAATCATAATAGGATTGCTAATTGACCTAAGTTAAAATAACTAAGGGTTCATCTTAGGTGTTTAAGTCATTACCTTTGTCCTAAATATGAAGGTGCATGTGGAGGTTGAATGATGTAGCTTTGACGCTTGATCTCCTAACTTCAATGATGCTTTCAGATCTTGAACTTGATTATATAATAACTATGGAATAGGTTGAGTTTTTACAAAGGACTCCATGAAATTAGTCAATTACAAATATGATCTAACAAATATTCTTACTCAGGTTTTGAATGTAACTCTGATAATTTCTTTATATTTGTTTTGGAAATTAGATTCCTCTCATATTGGATGTTGTCAAAGAACTGTTTGTAATTCATAGTTGATTTTTGTTTTTCTCTTTTGGCAATTTCCTAGTATACTCATGCAAAAAATTTTTGTCTTTTTTTTTATTGATATTAGTACAACAGGTAGATAATAGATTCAAACAGGTGCCCTTCCACTCCCTCGAGGTGGGGTTAACCATCTCGATTAAACTCGTCAGTCTGCCCAGATTCGACAAACCAAAATATATAAACATGCTTTCATAATAGATTACCAACAATAGGATAAACAATATAGCATTAATCAAGATGGTCATTTCCATCACTAGTAAAATAATCAGTACTACTACTCGGATCAACAAGATAGTCTAAAATATCAAAATGAGTTATATCCACTGGTTTCTTTTGATAATCAATAAAATTTGTTTCTATCATCTTAGAATTCTCATTTACCTATGATTGGTAAAGATCCACTAGATGTCTGGTCATACAGTAGGTACATAACCAATGTCCTTTCATCACGCATCTACAACAAACTTCTTCGTAGACTTTGGGAGGTTTATTCTATAAAATCTTCCCACTGTACAGCTTTGTTTCTTTCTTTGACCACTTTTAGTGTTAAGATGGGTTGGTATGACTATCAAGATGCCAAGTATGTTGCCTGTAACTATGGCCACGGCCCCAACCCCAACCCTGATCACGGCCATGATGCGATGTGACATTCACTTCAGGGAATGTTTTTGATCTAGTCGGGCGAGCATTGCGATTTTTCATCAAAAAATCATTATTTTTTTTCAACAACAAGAATACATGCTATCATATCAAAATATTTCTCAAACCTATGATTTTTATATTACTGCTGCTGGAACAAATTAGAGGCGTGGAGTCAATGTCAGTTGTGAACTAATTTTGAATTCTATTCTCTTACACTTTTAAAATCCTAAAACCTTAGGTTTGCTCATTCATTGCGAGCATATGGAAAAATAATAGCCTTTTGATGGTCATACATTTCCTTCAAATTATTTCAGAGATTTTGTGAATCTTTTACCATCATATATTCATTTTCCAATCCTTCATCAATATGATGACGAAGAAAATTATGGCTTTTGCGCGATTCTGCGTGGATGCAGTATTCTCTACTACGATCATGTTTTCAAGTTTTTATGGCAGTCAGGTGGGTTTCAGCATCAAGGACCCACGACAAATAATTATTTCCAATAATGTCAAGGATAGTAAATTCGAGTTTTGAGAGGTTCGACATTACTATAAATGACAAAACGTAATAACACATTTAGAATTCAATAAATAATGAATTAATAAGCATGACAATAAATTATGCAAAACTACTAACGAAATCTACTCAAATATTCATTAATAATGAGCATCAATTAAATTTATGAGTTTATAATGATAATATTTTATCCATAGCTACTAACACATAAATTTAAAATATAAATATATCACTTGTAGCAAAAGTCATCTATAATTCAATGCATAAAATTAAAATTAATAGAATTTTATGACAAAGTCTTCATAACTTTCATGAATTATAAAATATTGAAACAAAGTCATTAGAACTTTTGAAATTTGTCAGATTTCTGTAAACTATTAAAACTAATGCGAAGTCATTAGGACTTTTATAAATTTTTTTTTAATAAAGTTAAAAATCAAATAATAAATATTAAATTATAAATAAAGCTTCCAAGTACAATATATAATATTCTTGACTTACCATTACTTCAAAATTATTTCTAAAAAAGAGCTTTTTCTTTAGATGATTATAGACTTATGTTGCCAACATGTTGCGAAATCAATAAACTATCAATAAAATATAAAGAGAGCAATACACAAAATATAAATCCTTTGATAACTTAACATATTAATGAGTTAATCTTCAAGGTCGCAATTTTTTTTATTTATCTTTTATTCACTATCTTCCGTTCACTCAATATATACTACTTATACATTCTCCCGATGCCTTTTATAGGCAAAGGGATTTGATAGCCTTTATGAGGCGGGCGTAAAAATGGTTAAAAAATAATAAGGTTAGTTGAGTGGTTGGGTCAAGATTATCCACCGATTTACAATATATGAGCAATAAAGAAGGTTTGTAAGTCACCCGTTTGATCAAAAGCACAATTTAAACACTGTAGGTTCAATGGCCAAACAAATTGCGAGCCATAGATTTATAATTTCCAAGTTTGGACCCCCTTGATTGTATAAAACCCAACTTTAACGGATTTATGTAATTTACATGTAATTGTATGTTTTTTAATCACCACGACACATTTCACATTGAGAAAAGTTGGACCAAATTTCTTGGAAAGAATGAAGAGACCTCAACATTGGGTTTGCAAAGCAACATGCTATCACACCATCTTAACAGACAGACCATATCACCCAAAACAAATGAAAAAAAAAAATAGAAAAAAGGACACAGATGCATCTTAATTTGGGCAACTAAACAAAACATTTGAGTGTAAAATTTCAGTTCAGTACTGATTGGATCATTGGAAACTTTCCTCCCTTTTAGGCAATAAAGAAGGTTTATACCTAGTGTAATGGGTCAGATTTGATTCTCCAGATACTGAAATCTGTATATTTTTGGTGGTTCCAGATGTTCTCTGTAAAGGAAATTTTGGAGAGATCATTCATAGCTGCAAGGATTATATACACAAATATCATTTAGCTTTATATAGGGAAAATGTTTCTTAAAGTCACCCTTTCTCTACATGGCTTCAGCCACACCCTGCAAGGAAGATAGAAAATAGATGCATTTTCAGAAATTCAAAATTCACAATGATGTATCTATCCTTTTGACTTCAGGTTCAATATCCACAAGGAGAGCATATTACAAACAACAGGTATATGACATAATACATCAAGACATCTTTGTAACTTACACAACATATTACTCACAAATTTCAATTAAGCATATCAAGAATTGGATTCCACATCATCTTCCATCTCATACACAGCTTGAAGGGGACCACTCCCAGGTATAAACCCACTGTCTAGGAGATTATTCACAGGACCATTTCCGAACAGGCATACCTGTGGTTCAATCTTGTTCAGTCGGTTCCATTCATCACTCGCCAAAGACCAACTAAAAATGTCTATGTTTTTCCTTATCCGATCAGGCTTCACGCTACATGGTAGGACACTAGTTCCCCTTTGCAGACCCCACCGCAAAATAACCTACAGATTCCATCAAAGCAACAAATCATAACTCAGAAAAGCAATGAGCATCCCTAAATTGTACTCTTTTACAAAAAAACTACAGAGATATTTAAAAGGCGCACATCCGCTGTCAGAACTCAGAAGTTATGAGGATCCCCTAAATTGCAATCTTTTACAGAAAACTGAGAAACATATTTATTAAGGCACATATTAGCCCTGCTCTCAATGGAAGCCTTATCTGAACAGAATAGAGCAATTCTGTCATTTCGGTTAGAACCTAGTGGTAGTTGTTTTAATTTTCCTTATTTCTCATTTTTCTTTTCTTTTTGACCAAAACTTGGGGATCGTTTGATGGCCATTTCCCAAAAAAGGTCATTAAAAGAAGAATGACTACTCCTTAAAAGGATATGGTAAAGAAGATCTGAGTTTGCCACCATATCAACGTCAGAATCTCAGAAAAATCAAGTTCATGAAATAAAATTATATTGAAAAGCTCAAAAGGCTAAATGAGAGAGACATGGTTGTGATAAGTGAGTGGTTATCATGGCCGGACAGTTCATCAGGAATTTGTTGTGCTAGGTAATGTGCTTTAAATTTTGGGCCAATTTAGTGTCCATATCTTTTTTCCCACTTTGCTTCCTTATTGGCAGTGCCTTTGGGAATTCTTTTCCTCGAATTAAACTTGCTCCCTTACATCTATTCAAAAATCCCTATGATGCATTATGTCAACTCATAATACTCACATGACGAAATTACACAAAGCAAATCCAGTGGTTCATTAGAATTAAGCTTAAATAAACTATATATTGTACAAAGTACTAGCGAGTGAGACAGACAGAAATAAACAACAATAAGTCAATTAACTACACAATATCATTAACATTTTTAGACATACTAGAACCATCAACATAAAAATTCCTGCAGAAGAATAGATGATGTTATCCTCCTGCAGAAAGAGATACGCCACTATGCAACTCTGCTGATGCCATGTAAAACCTGAGGATTTGGTGGTTTAAACATTAAATAACAAAAAAAATAATTTTGAAATTCAAGTCAGGACCTGGAAAACTTTCAAGGGTCCCCTAGAAATGAAAAATGCCCATTTGCATTACTCTGTAATTCTCCATACGAATCAATAATTATAATCAGTCATCATAACAAATGACGATCAAATTTTGATATAAGCTTTCATATCATGAAAATTCAAAACTGATGGTATGGGAAGATTTTTAAAACAGCAGTTAAGACCACCACTCTTTATGACACAGTGTTAGGCAGCTATATTTGTGTAATATGCAACTTACTGAAAGCAGGATCTTAAGAAAGATGAGTAGCTATATAAGAATGAAAAATAATAGAAGAAAAACAAGCATCCACTGACAACTGGAAGTGGAATCAACAAAAGATAAGATGAGAAAGTTGTCTAAGTTTTCTTGTGCAATGAACCAACTAATGCAGTGGGATAGAAAGGTGATGCAATGCAAGTATTAAAAGGACAAGATAGCTAGCAGATATGTAGGTTCGGGCTATAAGCAAAGGGCCATGGGTTTAACCAAGACTGTAAGTGTATGGCGAGCTAGGTGCACACCCAACTGGATCTGATGGCCAAAGAAATCCCATAACCCCAGGATTTTAAAAACCCGGTAAAAATTTATTTTTTGTTTTTTCATTGTACAAAAGAGTAAACTAAAATCTAACATGGGGAACTTCAGAGGGGCATAGCCACAACACACACTGTGTACGATTAAAGCTAAATATACAAAAAAATGACCCAGGGTCTGCATATTGGCTACTAAATCCAAAAGTGCTTCCAAAAGGGGAGTAACATTTCTTGTTTAACTAGGAAACAAACAAACCAACAAGGGGCTCTTCAAGTTTTGAATTGGCTCCTCCACCCCTCAAAATGACTCCTCTTTTCCCTCAAATTGCATCATTTTAGCCAATACACGGCACTGTTACAAAATTCCATTTTATTTCTGTAACTGCAACAGAACTTAAAAAGATGCAGGCCACGTCAAGCAAATTTCATAATTGTTCCCTTTACAAAACTACCAATACCCAATGGCTTCCAGCCAAGAAAAAAGTGCCGGCTTGAACGGTTCTTCTAATGCCAAATACTTTTGCAAAGAACGTAAGCCGTAACCATCAGAATAAACACCTTATGATAAGATTTCACCTCAAGTTCCTGTTCTTGAAACCCCACTACTACAAATAGGGATGTGGATGCCCATTATTATGAGTGAAATTTGGCCAAAAGTCTAACCAGATGCTCTTTTAAGCCATTAAGCCTAAACAAGGCATTTTTAAGGCATTAAGCACAGGTCAGCAACTCTTTTTTGTTTTTCAGTCTAAACTAATTGAATACTATTGCTTAATTAACTGAATGCCCTTAAGTATATCACATTGGTTTCTTTCTTTTTTTAAATATGTTTTCTATATTTTCCCCACTCTCTCTTCTAGTCCATCTTTCTCTCTTTTCTCCCCTGACACACTCTCTGTCTCTCTTCTCCATCTTTCTCCCTTCTCCCCCACTCTGGTTCTCGCTGCGGATCAAAACCATGCTCTTTGTCAATATTGTCCATTGAAATGAAAATCTCCATCACCATTGGGTCAGAAATATGTGAGCAAAAGTCCAAAAGACACATTCCAAATAGGAGTAAGAATCGAAATAGAAGCAAAAAAGCAAAAGTCAGTCAATGTACAATTTGCTTCTTGTAAAATTCTATGATGAATTCACTGTCCAGTTTGCTTAATGTTATACCCATCTTGCTATGGTTGACAAATTCATGAGGATGAACTCCATGACAGACTTGTTGCAATAAATGTCGTTCCCACACTGATAGTCCTCTGTCTATCTCTCTATGTACAATGTAATCTTCTGCCATGAGTTTTATTATCATCAAAGAATAAGAAAGTAAGGAAAATACTAGTGTCACTACAAGACAACTTTGATTTTGTGTTTGAGTCAAGTTCTATTTATTATTATTTTTTGTCACGATAAAATTGTTGTATTATTGCATGGGGACGTATTGCATCGTCAAGTGGTTTCTTCTCTCACATTTTTTAGTGTTGGATAACTTCTCTACATGAATTAGGCCTAATTCATTGTATAGATGGTGCAGTTTAACAGTATAGTCAAAATGGATAAATTTCACCACCGTGACAGTGAAATATGTCTATTTAGAATGAAATAGGTCTAATTTAGTGTTCCAACATTGAAGTATGCCCAACTTTACAGTCACAGTGAAATTGCACAGTAAATTTTGACACTCAGACCAATTTTAATGTCAATGTTACTGTCCAATTGCAACAAAATTCATACTTCACTATCACAGTTGGACCAGCAAGATATGCCCAATTTCAATGTCACTAAATTTGGTCAGTGAATTTTTGCACTCGTCACAGTTTGGACAATTAAATTAGACAGATTTTTTGACACTCATAGGCCACTTTAACTATCCAATTGCAATAAATTCACTCTGTCACGATTCAGACAGTGAACTATGCCCAATTTCACTATTTTGGGCACTGTCCAATTTTGGCCAATGATACTGAATCTCAATCTAATCAACTCCATTCATTAAGTACAATTTATTTTCAATTCCAACTAAAATCCCCCAATTTTATTTCCAAATTAAGACGAAATCTCGTTAATCCCATTAATTATATCAATTATGTCTTGCTAAAAAAAGACAATAAGGTTTGAGGAAGATAAAAATACGTTTTATATATTGTAGAGGGATAGATAAGAGAGAAAAAAAAGAGGAATTTAAGTAAGAAAGAGAAGAGAAAGATAGTGGGCCGAAAAATAGAGAGAAAGACAAATATAAAGAAGAGAGAAAAGATAAACATACATTAGATATATAAGATGGATGGATAGAGAAGAGAGAGTAATTTAAGGAGGAGAGGAGATAGAAAGTGGGACGAAACTGAACACAGAGCAATTTAAGGAAAAGAGATGAGAGTGGGACGAAAGAGAGAAGAGAGAGAGAGTGAGACAAAAGAGATAGGAGAGAGAGAAATTTGAGGAAGAGAGAGGAGAGAGAAAAAGTCTTTTAAATAAGAAAGTAAATCTCTTAAAAGAATGTGACTATAATTGTCCGTATAATCTTGTCTTTGTGACTATAATTGTCCTTTTGGACCCAAAAGTTCCTAACTTGGACTTTATGACTCAAAAGATGTAGCTATGGACTTGTAGTCCCTTTTCCCTCATTATTAACTGAATCTCCTAATCTTTACATAGTTTGCAACACTTTGCTTCCTTATTGGCAGCACTTGTAAATGGGCTTTTGAATCACAAAAGCCTGTTTAGAAAAGTCAGATTTGTTTGGGGAGAGACTAGAAATGGACTTCGAGTGGAAGCCCATCTCCTAAATGCCCATTTGACAGAAGCTAAGATTCGGAGCTCCTCAAAACTACCTAAAAATGACTTCTCACAAAGTCGATAATGATTTAAGTGAGAAACAACAGGAGTTCCCAATATTAAACCCTGCTTCCTCTAACTCAATACCCATTTTATCCCCAATTCAAAATAAATATTGCATCTCCATTGTAGTGTGGCGGTGAATCCACCAGCAGAGCCATTGGCAGAGCTTCTAAATGTGATGCCTGCACTGCAATCAATTACGTCTTCTTTATACCAATACATTTCACCATCTGGTAATGAAGTGAAGAAATGAAACTCCCAATGTCTTCAAAAGTAGTGCAGAAATGCAAGTCCCAAAGGCTGAGGAATTGTCCAATCAATCCAGCGGGATGGTTCATTCATTAGCACCATGGGATTTACTTTTACTCCGGATAGTGAATTCATTGAAATTAATTCATACTTGAAATAATATTTATTATACTATTCTTTGGTTAGAATCCCATGCAATATTTCATTTCTTGGTATCTAATAGTTCACATAAAAAACATTTAATTTGGATTTTGAGAATTGTTTATGAAAACTTAAAATAAATTCTTTAATTACTTAACAAATGTTGTACTCATTTATGTTGAATATCTGCTAGGTTTAATATTAACCAGTAGTACGATAAGGTCAAGGGCAATATTGATATGAATATGCTATTTTACACTTTTAGAAGTATGCCACCAAGCATGCTTAAGTACTTCTAAACTCAAATGTGCTTTTAAAATGCATGTTTGCCAAACACTTTTTTTATTTGATGAAAATCCATAATGAAAAGTGCATCTTCATAAGATAGACTTTTACTTTCAGAAGTCATGCCAAACGCAACCTATATTCCTAGGTCTGGATGACATAAAGCAGACCAGAGAACACAGATCAAAGTCGTTCGCTTACAAGTAGCAGATGTTAAGGTTTGTTGACTTGAGTTGCATCAACTTTTGAATTTCACCACATTCGAGTTATTGGATTACAAATTTCCACTCAGAAGTTCCAGAACCCTAGACAATGGAATTTAGGAGAGCAAGAACATGACGTGAAAAGTTAGTTGTGGATTCTAGCACTGTACTCTTTGTATACAAGTTAAATTATAGATGACCCTATGATTTTATCTCACTCTTTGGGAAACACAGCTTTCTATAGAACCAGATCTGACCATATATTTTCTTGTTTTTCTCTTAGGATTTGGTATATGTAATATAGGCACATCACAATATTGAATATAGTATCTCATACCAAAGCAGGGTATTTAACTGGCCCCTCATTCGAAGCCAACATTAATGACAACATAAGGAAACTTTACACTGATAGGGTCATTTGCATGAGTTCAGCTTGCAACCATCAAGATGGTTCTTATTGCAGAACTTCTCTTTAGCGGGTCTTCGAATATCTTAAACTCAAAATTGTGCCGCTTCATGGACTTCAAAGTTCTCTTGATAAACATGACTATACTTATTGCCTAGACAAGACCATATATGGGCCTAGACAAGCTCTCCAAGCCAAGAGTACAAGCTATTTTTTTTATTTTCTCCACCCCCATAGTATTAATAAATGAGACTGACACCTCCAGGCTTGTACAACACTGGTTATGCCTCGTACCTATGACTCAGCTGCACTTGTATGCAGAAGCATTATCTTAAGTGTTTCACTTAATCCAGAAGTTCATCTTGCCCGTACCATATGAAAGACCTGAATCCTCTTCACTACTTTTAATTAATGTATTCGGGTCCAAACTCTACATGGGAATCTCCTTGTTGATATTTGAACTATGCAATCAAATTTTGCTCCCTAATTTCTATAAGAATAACTTGGCCAAACATTGCCCTATGCATAGTCAGTATTGAAAATTCATGCACCCTTCCGCAACCAATCTGGTAGTTTGTGCATGCAAACCGTAATATGTCCAAGACACAGGCCTTATTCGAGTCAATGCCTTCATGATCCTACAATTGTCACTGCCTGTTAGAGATTGACTAGGCTCAAGAAACCAGAAACAACCTATGTCTTTGGTCTTATGCTTCTTACATACAAATTATAGTCCCACAATGTTCAGAAAAACAATCAACAGTTATTCTATTGTTGGAACTTGACAGCAATCTCTAATAATCACAACCACATAGCTTTTCTTTTACAAAGGTCATGGTTTTTGCTTATTCTGAAATTGGGCCCAAGAGTTCAACACCTCTGTTGTTGTAGTGGAACTGTAAATACGAGTTCAGGTGAATGCTGTAGTTCATAAATTGATGAAGAATATGAAAAAAAAAATAAAATACAGAACATAAGGACTTAGCATTGTTTGCCAAAAATAAGGGCATGCAAAATAGGAAAGCATAAGCATCTCAATTTGATTGATTACTGAAGGTCTCATCGACATATACTTTTCCCATAAACCCCCTTAGGGGTATCCAAACCACGGTTCAAAGAATTGGCTAGATGAATTCAACCCTGCATATTTTGTTGTGATACTGTTCCATATTCCATGTAAACTACAAGTCAAAAACGCCTCAGCTAAGCTGTCGAAGATGTCTCCAAGTCCATACTAGTCACCCAAGTCATTGCCGTCAAATCAATTGATCCTTTCGGCGATGCCACAATGGCTTAAATCTCTTGCCATTTTCAACTCCTTTTTCAAGCTAGACTATCGTGCATATTACCTAATACTGTTCCACGATATCGTGGCCGATGCGTCTCAATTCCCTCCAAGTCGATGGCTGGTACCAAGATCTTGAACCCTACTCTGATCCACACAATAAAAGAAGTGGAAGATCTAAAGACCAAGAATACCCTTAACTGGATATGATGATTGGTACCTTAGAGAAACCCCAACATAAGTTGCATAAATTTCTCCATCAATATCCTTCTCGTATCCATGGTTCAAGATCACAGTATCGGCCATTAACTCAAAACACTGAGACACATCGCGGTCATAAGTTATGGAACGGTATCAGGCGATACATAAAAACTGTTACATAGAATAAGATGAATGCGACTAGAGATTTAGATTGTATCGTAGCATCGCAGAACAACACTAGCCAATTCAGTGATGATGACTCTTAGGGTTGACTTGAAGAAATCTTAGATGATTCAACCGTGTTGTGTGAGACTTATAATTTACATAGAATGTGAAACAATATTGAATCGGATCTATGTTGGGTACGAATCGACCGAATTGTTTCAATATCAATGGATACTTTGAACCATGTTCCCTGAATGACCTCCCATGCAAGTTGACAAGTAAAGGACTAGGGAGGATGGGAACACCCCAGTCCAACCACATCCTTGTTAGGCATATCTAGATTACCGAAAGAAATCCCTTTCTATAGAGCTCCCAACTAAATCATTGTTGGGTAGCAAGAAATTATTTCTCCATGGGAAAACCAAGGTAAAAACACTAAAAGTGATAAACTCTCGTATTTGAGATTAGGTCTTAACAATGTAAACCTTTTGCCTCTCATTTATACCCTTCTAATTTGGTAATATTCTTGAACTACTTTATTATTCTCCTTTAGCGCATCCATGCCAACATCTCTCAAAATCCTATGGTTCCAATTTCGAACCTAAACATTTTTCAAAGTTATTGTCTACTTTTAAATATCATATCCCCATGTTTTTAGAACTGGCGGCAATTTGAGCACTATATAGTGCTTTAGTTTGGGTAGCCTTCCTTTTTGATTGTCTTTACACTAAAAGAACTGTTATTGATTGAAGATTGCAGGTTCAGAGAAAAAATTTTGGTTTGACAATTGTCTAGCTGTCTTATTAGATAGTTCATGTATCTAACCACTTGTGAGAGTGTTACTTTACTCGTATGTATTCTAAAGTTCTTATGCCTATAATTAAAAAGAAAAAATTAATTCAGAGACACGAAACAGTAAAATTTTCAAGTTTTTTAAGGGAAAAATCCACAGCAGAGCCATGTGGCAATATCTTGGCAGATGACTCTGTTTTTGTTCCACGTTAATTGTCTTCTATTGTTTGTTTTGTTTCTAGCTATTGATGCAAGATCAAAGTTCTTTTCACTTCAAAGTATGTATCAAAGAGGAGTTCGATCCATTGCCGTGGATGTTCGATGTCAAAAGGGATGTGGAAGAAGAGGCAGTAGGCCCCAATTAAAGAGATGGTAGAGATGTGGCATACAAGATTGATCTGGAAGGGCAATTGTGACCTTAAGGCATACCGGGAGGTGGCCTTGAAGAGATTGATCTTGATGAAGATATCAAAACCTTCAACAGACAAGCAGCTAGGGAAGAACTAGAATGTGGTGGAATGTTAGAGAAGAGATAGGTTTGAGCACTCGATTTAAACATTGTCAAATACAAGTAAAGTTGCTAATTTTTAGGCAAAATGTAGGCCGAAGATTATTTGGATAGGGAAGCGAGTTTCAAGAATTATTTTGAGTAAAAAACCATGGTTCTAAAGCTCAAATTAAACAGCATTGCACTTCAGTGGTGGAAGCAAGGGAAAAAAATCAACTCCTAGGAGCATATGAAATCAAAGGTATGGAAGTAATTTTTTGTAGGTCGATTATGCAATTGAGTTATGTGAGTAGTTTCATTCACTAAAGCAACAGAATATGACAGTGGAAGAGCACAATATTCTCACTTTGGGTTGGTTTAAATGAATTGACAAACAAATGATGTCTCATTATGTCTCAGTTTTGAATAAGTGCAGTGCAGACATGATGGATAACCATTGGCTTGTTCAACCTATAAGATGCTCGACAACACGACTTAATGACTGAAAGAAGTTTTGGCATTACGGTGATAGAAAATCTATTACTAGACGTCTTGGAGGTGAATGTCAATAAAGTACAAGATCTATCTAAGGTGTTTTGGGGAAAGAAACAGCTAAAGGACAGAACTGGCGATCGCCACACTTAGTCAAACAAGTCGAAGCAACAATAATAGTAATCATGGTTCAAGGTTCAAGGTTCAAGGTTCAAGGTTACGATATCAACCACCAACTTTAATAGCACTAAGACACATTGCTAGCAACGTCACAGATCATTATGAGGCAGTACACAAGAGGTGTTACATATAAGTTAAACGTGATGAGAGATCAAGATCATATAGTAGGATTGCACAACAGTATTGGCCAATTCAGCGAAGATGACCCAGACGTCTCCGGGCTGACTCAAAGACATCTTGAATGGCTCGGCTAAGTTACATAAGACTTATGATTTGCGTGGAATGTTAGGCGGTATCAGATCAGAAAGTTCTGATCCAGATTGACTAGGCCAAGTCCTATCGGTATCAATTGATACTTTAAACCATATATCATGATGGTAGGGGTGAAGGGGATTGGAAATTGCCAAACACAAAGCTCATAACCACATTGGTGGAATTCAAACACTATCAGACATTTGACTGGATTGTAAAAAAAAGGCCTTCGATTTAGCAAAACATCAGACTCAATATGTGTTCTTGCTTTAGTTAGGGAGACGGACAGTGAGTCTTCTTACAAGGTAGCTCAAATATTCACCTCAACCAAGAATTAAATAGTAGAGATTGACAATGGCATTCAATTAATATAAACAACATTGAATTTATACATGATTAGCAATAGATATTTAATTTTCTGAATAAAGAATATTTTCGTTTAAAGTTGCCAATTTGTAGACTATTTCTATCATTCATCATGAAGCTCTACCCACAACGACGGACTCATATTTGAAATTACTGCAACTTACGGATAACTCATCCCAATTTTTCAACATTGGCCCCTTTGGTTAACAAAAATTGGATGTAACCAAAGATTTGGAATGTCATATCTCTTCTTATGCATGAATTGATTTTTAAAACTTACGAGACTATTAGATTTTATAAAGTTCCTAAGCAAACAAATGCCTAGCATTTTTCCATTATATGAGTACAAGCCATGATGATTTCTTCACTAAACAAAAGTAGATTTAGTAATATTTTTAAACTGAAGGAAAGAATAAGAGAATTACAATGTCAATCAAAATTTGATGTTCAAAATGCATATATCTGAACCACATATAAAGCACTCAAAGCTAAGATAAATAATAATTAAACAAAAATTTAAATACGAGACAACTGAGTTAAATATCAAGTACCTGTTCAGGAGTCTTTTTATGCCTATCTGCTATTTCTGCAACAACCGACAATTTCAACATTGGCCCATGCACTGATCTTGACCTCCTAAATGAAATGCGAGGAGTTCCAGGTTCATCTTCCCCACCTGACCCACCATCAGACGGTCCAGGACTGGAAGTTGGTACTCCTAAAGGTGTATGAGCAGATACATGTATACCTTTTGACTGACAAAATTTTACAAGTTCATCTTGCCTCCAGAAAGGATGCAACTCCACCTAGTAAAAGCAATCATATATATCAATCAGAAAACCTGAACTCCATAGGTAAAAATTCAGTCTGGCCTATATCACAGAAGGATGATTTTGTTTCCAATACCAAGCAAAAAAAACATATTGCTAGCTGCATGCGTGGATGACACCTAAATCTCACATTCCAATATTTAGTTTCAATACAATAATAACTAAGAAATTGAACAAGCTGGCAAAATTATACAGGTGAGACAAGAGGTAATCATAGACCAATTAAAAAAGACATCATACGTAGTTAAAGCAATCACTCATCAATCAGAAAACAAGTATTGTTCCAAGGAAAGGTCTGGATGAGATCTCGTGTGGCTTTGACTAAGTAAAGATGCATCCTTTTCGTTGGGAGATAAAAAATAAGACAATCCAACTAAGCATGTTCTGTATTAAATGATCATTTAGAAGAATAAACAAAAGGGAAAACCATCAAAAATTAAGCCATATCAACTTTCCAGTCCCACCAGAGTATCACAGAAAGTGATGAAATAAATATGTTCCCAGAAGACAATTCAAATTCAAAATGGATAATTACACAAACAGAGGGGTGTCAGGGTTTCTCAAGGTTCAAAATAACAAACATTAATTTGAACGTTTTGAATTGAGACGAACTTTAAAACTTATATGCATCAAAAATATTGAAAACACTAAGTACCAAGCATAAGGAAAACCTCATGGAAAAAAACATGAAAAAGACAATCTTATTCTGGATGGTACCATTATTGACCTGCCCTTGCACTAGAAAATTGAAACCCCTTGAATAGTGTTCGTCTCTTATCTAAATTTTAAAACTGCATGCTGATTCTGAATTCCAACTCCTCTTAACCTGGATTTCCATGTTAGGTCTAGTTTCCATTGGCATATTCCATGGTCAAAATTTTAATTGAGTTCATGAACATCATGTATTTTCTCAAAGGGTTGAAAGATGCATTATCAGAGGCTTGGATGACAAGAAATAGCTCAAGGCAGAGGTTTAAGGTTCAGGTGGAATATGCATCGATCCAGTGATATTTTGGATAGATCCAAATTTATTTGATGGAAGTTGGCTCGATCTGTATGTTTCTGCAATTAAAATGCTGGGAGCTGGATCAATCCACCCTCAACTTGGATTGATCGTGTTCATATGCTACTGTGTACGATAGAATAATCAGACCTATTGAACCCCCTCTAAGTCATACACATGGAAATAACAGGTTTTAATTCCATTTCAATAATTTCCTGCAAAATCATATATATTGATTATCATGCAGGTGATCGATATTTTTGGCACTGAATAGTTCAACCATCTGAAAGTTGCAGTTTATAGTTGTCAAGAAGCCATTCAACTAAATGGAAAATCAAAAAATCAGTTACATCAGCAGCTGAACTTTTTGAGATATGTTTGCTATTCCTAAATTCCAGTTGTATGCACATTGAACACCAAGTATCTAAAACCAACTATTTACCAAAAAAATCCTATAAGCAACTAAAAAATTGTCAAACCTAAGGGGAGAAAAATGTAAGAAATGTTGTAAGATGCCTAATACCCTGACAATGAAAAATGAAAGACGACGGGTTTAAAGCATAACAACACCTTGTTTTTCAAAAATTGCCATTACAAAAATTAGAACTGGAAGTCACACTTTGTGTCAGCTGTTTGTATAGTTCTTTGGCTTAGTCCAACACTTTTTGCAACAGTGAGCACCCTAGGAGGAAACCATCATTGCATACAGAACACATGGTCACACAACTTGCGGATAGTTTTTATTCTGTCTGATCCAATTAGTTTCAGAAGGTCTAAAAAGGCTCCTTCTTGTGTTCTTGATAATCAACTGTTGGAAAACTTGTGATGAGAAATAAGTTGCTCCAGATAACTTAAATTTAAAGAAGAAAGTGGAAGTGGAACCAACCTGATTGACTGCTGGTACAATTCTGGCGAATCTGAGCAACTCTTTTATCTGCTGTATGCTGAAATTGCTAACTCCAATAGCTCGAACAAGACCCAACTCAACCAAACCTTCCATTGCCTTCCATGTAGTTTTCAGCCGGTTCAAAAATTGCCTGTACTCACTCCCCAAATGTGTAGGAGGATCAGTGGCATCCCCAAATGCCGAGCTCTCATGCCAATGCATCAAATAAAGATCCAAGTATGACACTCCAAGATTCTTAAGAGACATTCTAACGGAATTCTCAATTTTATTGAGTGAATTCATAGTGCAATACAGCTTAGAAGTCAAAAAAATATCCTCTCTCTTCAATGAACCTTTAAATGCTTCAGATAGTGCTTCTCCAACTTCAGCCTCATTTCCATAAAGATGCGCACAATCAATCTGACGGTAACCAACCAACAATGCCGTTTTTATAGCATCAACACAGAGATCACCACCACTCTGCCAAGTTCCAAGCCCTATAGCTGGAATTTTGGCACCTGTGTTCAACAGGAAGTAAGTCCCTGGTGTCCAAACTTTTCCTTTCATTCTTTCAGGCTTGTAGATGAGCAACAAAGATGTACTTGACCCAGAAACCAAAACCCACAAAAATGTAAAAATTCAGACAAAGACCAATCAAAACTCCAATGAACTTGTGATAATTACAGGAGTTGAACAAAATCTAAGGGAAAAAGATATAATCCCAATATCTCAAGAGTGGCGATAAGAAAAGCAAATCATATGGAAACCCAACCAGATCGATTAAGTATAGATCACCCAGTTCAGAAAAGATCAAAAGTGATTGATGGGGCAATGGGTCTTAAGGAAGAAGACAACAATATTCCTAGTCAGAGAAGGACAACTTCAACTGCACGAAAGGCCAACAGATGTTTGTTGATTTATCTGAATGAAACCAGAAAGCCAATCCAATAATCATCACCACAGCAAGCAAATAATGCTGATATATATTTAATGATCAAAACAAGAGGACTCAAATCAATCAAACAAACTAATCTTTCTTTCCAGGAAACCACCAAACTCAGACCAGTTTTGTGGCTTTGTCTTCGCATATATAATTGCAATATTCAAAAGGAAGAGATGGTCAACAATGACGACAGAGAGCAAAGAAACTATCCAAAACACAAAACAAACACCTAGCTGTAAAATCAAACACTCTATATGTTAAACAAGTCTCTATCCAACGTAAAAAGTAAGGCAATGCTTGTTGTATATTATATTGCACAAACTATGTAAGCCTTTGTTTTATTAGAAAATGCGGTAGATACACGGACTTAACAAAATAAATTGTCTTAAATGTCCCATTCAATCTCTAACCACTCAAGGTTTTGGAATAATTCATGGTATCAAATCGTTGATTCTACAAAATCTTAGGTTTTCTTTTTTTTTTTTTTTGACATTCAAGAACTAAGGTTCGATCCCCTTTATATGCTTGAAGTTTCATCTTTGCGTCATTGACTAGATTTTGCTTACTTATGTTAATTTTGTAAGAAGGAAAACTCTTTAAGTTTATTTGTTTAAAAATTGAAGGATGGTATTATCTTTTACACTAATTTATTAGCATAGTTAAGTGTTACACTTTAGTCCTAAATTTTAAAGGGCTGAAGTGTAGGTGTGTTTTTTAAGTAAAAGTGTTGGGCTAGGGCTATCTCATATCAGATAGCTTTTGAGTGTGTGTAAGTTATAACGATTTATGACACTTCTAATTTTAAGTAGAAATGTTGTAGTGTTTCTCGTTAAAAAAAGTGTAGGTGTTTTTTTTTTTTTTTTGTTATAGTATTCAAGTTTGTACTGATTACTCTGTAGAGTTTAAATACTAGTCACCGCAATCCGAACGAATTTAAAACATATCCCCTGAGGATATAAGGATGACCGATCATTGAAAAATATGAAAAGTTTTGAACTCGAGACATTTTAGTTACCAGGTGTTAAACTAAATTATTAAATTACCCCTAAAAATTAAGTATAGGTGTGTTTACAAATAGATATAATGTAACTGGTTCAAACACTGTAAGTTCATATTGGTGTTTAGTGATTGGCCGCTATGCTAACTTAATTATGTTCGTTTTTGAAAAGAGTAGTAGGCACAATCAAAAGTCTTATGATTCCATCAATAAAAACCTATCAGGGTGGTTTTTAAGTGCTCTTCTTTAACCCACTTTTAAAAAAAAAAATAAACACCATGAAGTTAAAATATGAATTTATTTACAGTTAGCATACAAATGTTTACTAGTCTCCTTGTACGCGTAAAAGGGTTCAATATCCCGTGGGATTGCAAAATTGACATGCAGGAGACTACTTATATAATATATATATATATATATATATATATATATATATATATATATATATATATATATATATATATATATATATATATTGTATGGTTATTATAAATTTATGATACTTTTTATAATTTTTGGGAGTAATTTACATGTTATCATCGTTACGAATAATTACAGGATTGATTCTAAGTTATCACAGAAGTTTTAAATTGGCCCAAAAAATTGTATACTTTGAAACTCAAAAGTTGTAACATAATTCAAAAAATTATAATTTTTTTATAATAAGAGATGCAAAACTTATATCTCAAATCACAAAATTTATAACGTTCAATAATACCGTATCAAAGTTAATCTTCTCCAATTGATATACATCCTAATATTTTTTTGGTGTAATGTGTTAGGACGCCTAACTAAAAGGACAGAAAAGGCACCACCCACCTCCCCAACCTAAAATTAGTAAGGCATTCATTGACCAACGGGGTAGAGAGGGAGAGATTGATAGTGACATATTAATTGACTTAGGCTTGTCGATCGCATCGTGCCATAACCGTTATGAAATATTTTAAGTGATAATAAAAATAAATTATAAATTTAAATATTTTAAGTTTGAATTTTAATAATTTTTTAGAGTCAAGTCACGAATACTTTAATTTTGGCGTGGATGATTACCTACTTTTAACTAAATCGAAAAAAAATTAACCGAGATATGTATAAGTTGATTTGAATACTTTGAACCCTAAACCAAGAAAAAAAAATACAAAAGTGAGAAAATTTTCAACTCTTACTATACCTACAACCAATAAAAATTTATTAGACAACTTATTTTGTCAAACATATGAAAACATAGAATATTTTATGTATAATTTTTAACAATGTGTAACATTTTACATGTAAATATAAATACTTTGGATTCATTTGGTTGTCATATTATAGAGGAATAAATTATTGTATTTGATTAAAATTTATTTAATCGTGTCTTATACTGCATTTTCCATACAAATAGGTTTATTTCAATACCACAAATAGAAATAATATTATAATCCAGGTGAGATGTATTATATTATAAATTACCATTTTATCACTAAAACCAGATAAACCACATGTTTATCTCCTCATATGTGCAGGTCTCTCACTCCTACTACGACTAATCTGTCTAACGTTCTCTCCTTCAACACAAATCAATCAAATATTGAGGTTAGATCTTCACAATTGAATATTTTAAAAATACAATAAACTTTTATTTCATTGAATTTTTCTCATCTTTATTTTTTAGTATAAATTTCATAGATTTTTAGATTATTATTGGGACTATTCATATACCTGGGGAGACCTTCGTTTTTGTGTGTATACTAGAATATTTTCTCCAATTTAGGCCAAGTGGTCAACAAGTATGCCACTTAGTCTTGGCTGGTGGCCGTCTTTCACGCCTAAACAGTTGGGTAATATGCTTTTCATAGGTGGGAAGCCCAAACAAACTTGTGCAATGATAATTCTCACCCTTATACGTTTGTGTGAGCTTTCTTTGTCCAAATTTCTTTTTGAAATAGATGGAAGGTCAGCATTGTAGCAAACTATATTGAAGTATCAAATTGAGATAAATAAAGTTGGAGTCTTCCTTGAAATTTGGGCCTAAATTCAGAGGTCAAATATTATAGGTAAGATTACAAATAAGACATACTTTTTTATACAAGAAAAAAATATGACAACGGCGATTTGGGTTAGATTACTGGAGCTACAGGTACAATATTATGAGGAGAAGACCATATTTAAGATTGCTAAAGCATTTGGAAACCCATCAAAGTGGACATCAGAACTGCCACTGTTGAAAGAGGTAAGTTCGTTAAAGTTTGTATTGAAAGAGACCTTTCCCTTCTTCTTCCATCACACTGCAAATTAGGGAGCATCTTATTCATAATTGAATATGAATGTCTCTATTCTATATGCTTTGCGTGTGGGAGAATAGGCCATTAAGGAAATTGCTGCACGCATTCGCTGAAAACCTCTACCGGAGAAACCAAGAACCCAGTCGAAAAAGCCAGCAATCTAGTCGTTGGGGATGATAGTATATCGAAAATGGCTAATTCCAAATATAGCCAAACTGCTATAGAAGATTGGGTCTCAGAATAAGGCCCTACTAAATTGGACAACCCAGAAGATGGAAACAATTACGGGTCATGGATGAAAACCCAAAACAAGAGACGGAAACCCACAGAAAAAGGAATGAACAATGAAAAGGGTCCATTAATAATAATAGGTACCAGGTCCTACAGGACCACGACTTAGACCCACATGGACCCAAACTGTCACACCAAGTGCACCAGACAATCTGAAATGAGAAGCCTAGACCAAGCCCTTCCCACAAGAGACAATGGACATCAGAGGAACATAGGGGACTACCAAAAAAAGTGGTTCCAAACCGAGAGAACAAATTTCAATGCTATGGCCTATGGAGGTTAGACATCCCAAGGCTCAAATGACTCCTCCATTCAAGTAACCAATCCTACGGCTCACACCAACGAGCACAAGCCCCAAAACGATAAACTATAGTTAAGGAAACTTAACAGGACCAATAACTTTACAGAAGAAATGCACCTACACAAATCAGACTCTTCCCCTTCCATACCATTAACCCCCTTCTATGCAACTCTCTCCTCTACTGAAAACCCTAATCCCCCTAATAATGTTAACCTAGAGGGGACATCAACACACCATACGGTGTTCAACGCCGACCTCAAAGTTCCTAAACGCCCTGATAAATAAAATGAGTAGACTAGAAATCCCATCCATAAGTACAACACTGCTCAATCAAAACAATGAGGGAATACTTCTATAGATAAAAAAAGATGAAATATTGCTGACACTATTTCACTAGACAATCCAGAGACTGAATCTTGCAATAGAGGCTTGTTTTCTTAGGAGATCGCCACAAAACTACCTTGCAATCACACTAAGAGCAGAGCCACCATTGACTTCCCTGGAAGAAGCAAGGAGAATCCTGGTACAACACCATGAAACCAATTTCCCAATGAATATGATGCTATCATCTATTGTAAAACCTGGATAAATTTAAACTTTTTATGAAAAATAGTAATTTGTCACTACAGTACAGATTGTAAACTTGAAATTTTTTAGGACTCGGATGATGAAACGGACCTCACCGTTCGTCTCGGGAAATTTAGTTACCTTGTCAAATTTCATCAAATTTTAAGATATTCAGATTTTTTACGTTTTACGAGACGGTCGAGTCTCGGGTGACCCAAAAATGGAATTTTGATAAAAAATTTAAAGCAAATTAAAATAATAATATTTTGAACTTGAATCGGGACAAAATTTAATCGTTTCGAGGTTAAAACGGACCCAGGAAAAAAGGGTTATGTGACACGTTGTGGACCAAGCGTTGTGAGGCTATAAATAAGGAAAGAAAATCAGATTTCCTCCCCTATTCATCAGTCGGTTCCAACGTGAGAGAAAAAGAGGGTAAAGAGAGAGTTTCTTCACCTTCTCTCTACGATCTACAAAGCTACGGTGCTTAAATCCATTCGGGACAAGAACAAAAGTCGGTCTCCTCGTCGAGGGTTACACGACCACAACAACAAATGAGGCATTTCACCGAAGTTTCAAAATCAAGCTTGGTGGAATTAAGGGCTTGGAGCGAAAATTTGAGTCTTGAGGGCTTCTACCAAGCGGGCTTACCCTTCAAGAGGTAGGGTTCCTTCCTACTTAGATTTATTTAACAACTTAGGGTGTAGTATGTAATGAATATGTTGATAGAAAGATTATATTATTA